TTTCAACAGATTTCCTCACAGTTAGACATATCAACACACAATTTATTTCAATAAATAAAAGCTTCAGCTACACAGAGTGAATGTAAATAGGCAGTATATTTTCCAGGATGAAAAATCAGTAGCTTTTTAAATGGGAAAGTAACAAGCATTTCAGTGAACAGTGTATTTAAACCTTATAAAATAAATATTTTCTGCTGTTAATACTGCCTTTATCATTTTCTTTATCCTTCTCATCTTGCAGCACTCATAAACAATTACGTGAAATTCACTTGTCCTCTTGTAAACGTGTTTTCTTTAGAATATTTTATAAAGATGAAGCAACAAACATAGGCTGAAATCAAAGTTTTAAGAGCGATATTAAGCAAAATATGTAACTGGAATAAACATTGATTACAAACACTCTCTCTCACAAGACAAACAAGCATAAAAGCGAAGGAGTAAACAATCAGTCCTTCACTTTTTGAAAACAAATCGGGTGTTTGCCATGATTGATTACCATGATGCACTGCAGAAACATTTCGCAAAGAGATGTGGTCCTTTGGGCATGACTGTAAAGTTTACATGTAAAATGATAAAGAACAGTGATAACAACATAACCATGTATGTGCCAAAAATGAAAAGTGCTTGGGTTTCTTAAAACAAACCAAAGTACTCTCTTTTGACAAGTTCATTAAAAAGAGCAGCTGGCCACGTTTCTCATTAGGCTTCAGAAGAAACACTTCATGTGTCATCAACATCTTGTTTTCATCTGTGTGTTGTTAACCTCCTCATAACCCATAAAATGATATAACCTGCTGTCATCTTCAATACAATGTATATCAAACTTGATTTTTCACAACAAGTAGTGAAAATTGCATTACTTTTCACTGCTTTTTTCATGAAGGGGAGACACGAGGATGAGTACTGTAAATAATGAAAGTTTCATTTTTGGATAAACTATCCCTTTAAGGTTCACTGTTTTTTGCATTTACATCATATCAAGACTATTTACACTTGGACACTCTAAGACACACTTAAGAGCGACAGAAATCCGATCTGGTGGTTTGAGACTCGGCCAAGTGTAAATCCATCTGGCTCTTCAGGCCACATATGCAAACTTTGCTCCTCCTAAACATATCTACATCAGCGTATGGAGGTTGTGTGAGCCCCAAACAGAATGCAGCACATTATGGTTGTTATCTTTTGTACCACAATCGTCAAAGCTAATTCAGCCACGTCCTGTTTTTATGAGCCACATCAAGTGCAGCCAATTTTGGTGCCCAGCACCAAGACACATTTATGTGGCCAAAGCGAATGCGCATGCACAATCAGATAGCAATTCAAACGATGTGTGACTAAATGTAAACAGACCCATAAACACAGTCTGGAATCGAATGATGTTCCTTCTGTAATATCTAGAAACACAATACATGAAGGCAAGGAATAGACTACTGCTGCTCAAGGTCCTCAGAGATAAGAAAACGAAGTAGAGTAATGAAAATGACATTCTGAATAATTCCCAACCGAAAACACAGCTGAAGCAAACTGATGGTGACATTTGCAGCCTTGTGTGGGTTTATATTCAAGCTTTCCTGTCTGGCTTTCAAAAATGTGAAAAACTGGCTTTGAGGTACGTCTGGTTTATGTGACAGAGGTCTGGGTAATACTCCGCTGGCTGCTGGCACTTTTGATGACGTAGGTGGAGGAGTTGCTCTTACGGGAATCTTGCTCCGGATCACAGCGGCACTGAGATGATTTCAGATAGAGCGCAGAGCAGCACAGCAGGTTCTGCTTCAGGTCATGAAAGAGATGCCCAGCAAAAAACATGTAGATCCAGGGGTTACAGCAGCTGTTCAGACTGGCCAGCAACATGGAAATGATGAAGGGCATTGCTGTGGAGGATAAGAAGTCAGCTTTAAATATACAATGAAAAGATCAGAACATTGTACTTTAACTCTGCGGTCTTGTTTTAACCTGTTAGATTCAATATTCTGCATCGTCAGTGCTTTTAAAATCTTGTGTCTAATGATAAAAAAATGACACATGTCACCTTTAAAAGCCAAAAGTCAACAATTTTCACTCCACTCAAATTCCTAATAAATTTCAGAAACAATTACAAACAGCAAGGAACACGCTGAATTAAATGTGGAATTCTATAGTAGAAAAATTGGTTAACACTTTACTTAAAGCCTTAATGTATAATGCATTATAAAGGGTATAATGTATTTTAAATGTGTTGTAATACATTATTTTGTTGTATAAAATTACAATGCATAGTGTACAATGCATTATATAGGTGCATTACAAGGCATAATTAATGCATTAGAGCTACTTTTATAATGCATTATACATAAAGGCTTTAAGTAAAGTGTTACCGAAAATTGAAATGGCATTTTATTACTCCAATGTTATTTTGTTTTATTTAATTTTTTTTTTTTTTTTTTTACAAAGCATGAATATGGTTTAGCTTTATTAAAATTATTTTCTTAATTTGTATTTTACACAAGCACAAAGGTAAAACTAAAAATGTAATATCTGTATGTGATCTTGATTCCATAAGAGTGACATTTACAGTACTTCAAAATTGACATTTGAGAACAATTTGATATGAAATATATACTGTCAAAGTTTTTTTTGTTCAAGGTTCTAAATAAAACAATTATTGGAGTACAATTTACAAGACTATACTACTCTAGTCTTCAAAATTTCAAGTTGAATTTAATGTGTTGCTGTTTATTTGTAATTATTTGTGAAATTTAACCATTTCTAAGTGAAAATTGTTTCAAAGTAAATCCTACACAATTTTTTAAGTATAAGATAGTGTCCTGTATTTAACTTCTCACTGAGCATTTCCTCATACTGTATCTGATATTACAGTGCACCACAAATATGAATAAACAACTGGGAAGATGAAAACATATTTCTGGGCAGATGTTACACTACTTCAACAGTCATTTGTAAATCAACCAGTTTATTTTGGCTTTCTTCATAAGGGTCTGCACCACTGTGCTATTTATCATTAAAAGTCTAGAAACGGGGGGAAAAAAGGGAAAACCTTAATTTAGCACAGTGCCCAAGCTCTGACATGCTTTATCACTCCCTACAATCTATGCATACACAATGTGGCATTAAAAATAAATTGGTATGAGAAGCATGACGTGAGACAACTTTATTATAAAAACAGTGTTGGTGGACCGTGGTGTAAACAGTAGAATCTGTCACTGAGCTTCTTTAAGATCTTTTACAAACAAGACAAATTTAGACAGAATAAACAACATGTTGTTTGCTAGCTCATAACAATGCTGAAAGATCTGTTAAGCCAGAAAGCAGGAGACGACTGACTGAGGTAAACTCGTTTTGCTTCTATTGTGTTTGGGAATCATGGGAAAGAGGTGTTTTCAGGCATGAATAGAAAAGAAAATCCCCTTTAACCCTTATTGTTTTTTATAAAATGGTGGCAGCAACAGGACACACCACTGTTCAAAAGTGTGGGATTGTAAGATTTAATAAAAAAAATATATATTTTTTTATTCAGCAAGGACACATTAAATTGATCAAAAATTATTTTTCACTTGCTGACGGGTTTTGCGAAATCGCCGACAAATGCCCGAAATCAGAGGCAAATCGGTGCTCGTTCACGCGAGTGACAATCACACAGTGTGAATTATCAAAGACGCGATCTGAGGGAATCGCCGACGCGTCGCCGACGCCCGTGAAATATTTGGCATGCTAAATATCTGGAGCTGTCAGCGATTTACAATCACGCTGTGTGAAATGAGTTCTGACTGAAAACACATCGGCGATGACCTACAGCCAATGAGAGACTCACCCCTTGTCCAAAAACTCACACTTGCGGTCTTGGCCACTTGAGAGCGCGTGCTCGCGAAAGGAAGTAAGTGCGCAAGACTGTCCCAGGTCTTAAAAATACCAAAGCGCAGTGCCCTTAACGCACACTAAACCCACACTATCTCGAATACCGCTCCGGAGCGGTATTCGAGGGTTAGTGTATCCAATCATGCATCATGTTCTGGAAATAAATCATGAGACTTTTTGCCAAGATCGCGCACGGAAACCTTTCCAATGTAAGTTAAATATTAATAATAATAAGATATTAAACAGAGTGCTACACATTTTATTGCTGCAAAGATTAGTATATTTATTTTTGTACAACATTTGCAACTGCTTTTTATCACTTAATTAAATTGTCATCTATAGGGACTACTGAACAGACATTTAGAAGTTGATTTTAAAATGCAAAGTATTGAAAATAATAATAAAACTCTGTAAACAATTTGCGTTTTTACAACACTATAAGTGTCCCATCAGGTAATGAAAAGTTGTACATACACTTGTGGTCTTCATGCTCACTTGAACACTTGGGCCAAATACAGGAAATACGTCATATAAGTAGTCTAGTTTGCAGAACAGTGTTGCCAAATCTGCGATTGCCGCCGGTTGTTTTTTATGTCAGCAGGTTGAAGTGACCCCAATAACGTGATATTTAGGCCCTGGACTGTGAATTGTACTAGGAGAACCCCACCAAAAAAATTTGTATTTTACCCCCCCCGAGCGCGATTTTTACTGGGGGACACCCTCAAAAGCAATTGGGCTATTTTCAGGCTAGTTTTGAGTAGTAATTGGGCGGGTTTTGTAGCGAAAACCTGGCAACCCTGCACCAGACAGAGCTGTCGGCGATTCTTCCTATTGTAAATTCATGCAGTATGTAACCTCCTGTCGCCGATCCATCGTGCAGTGTGAACACAGCAGCGACTGACTGCTACCTCAGATAGTCGCACAGTGTGAAAACCACGGTGACCCGACAACTTTGAAAATCGTGCAGTGTGAACTCGGCATAAGACAAAAATGTACAATCTATGTTCAGAGATTTACACTTGAGAAAAAATAACCAAAACCTGCAACTCAAAACACATTGCAACATGGGTAGTCCTTAAATAATATTGTTAGTGTGCAAAGAGGAAATGAGAACCAGGTGATAGTAATCACAAGTCTCATTAGTATTCTGGTGGTGAGCTGACTGTGTACTGCGATTAAACGTGACATGCCTATTGCCGTCTAACATATATGGGCTATTAAAAAATATATAATTTTTTCTTTCTGGTTGACCTCACTCTGACAAAAGGATGATGCATGAGGGTAAGAAAAGAAGAATCTGCTGATACATGAACCATGAACCCATCTGAGCCCCCCCAAAATCTTTCTGAAAGTACACTGTGGTGCATTTACAAAAATACCTTACTGTCAGGAATAGACAAACAACCAAGTCATGCTGGTTGGGCTACGTTGGGGAAAAAAAACTAGTGGAAAAAGCATCCAAAGGAAGGAATATCTTGGAGATCAATGCTGTGTTTTTTCTTTCCAACCTTACAGTACACCACAGACTCTACAGCAGGGCAAAAGGAAACTGGAGCAAACAGAAGAAGGTGAGAACATCTTAGAATATAGCCTATAAACTATGAAACCACACATTCATGTGCCAACACAGGTCTGAATATGGAGATTGTTGGGAATTAATTCCCAACATTCAACAAACAAACAACCATATCCATCACAGTAGAAAAGCAAACTTGGCAATTATAAATAATATACAATGATCAAAAAAAGTTCAAGACCCAAACAAGTTGACAATAACTTGTCCAATGTGTTTCTGTGCACTTGTGTGGTCATCCGCATGTAACCTACAGACATAAAGATTCTGGGTTTGATCCTTTAGTCTCTCAGAGAAAAGGAAATTGAATTTAGAAATGAAGGAGTAAGCAACGAACCCAGATGGGGCTTCGGACAAGTGTATTGCTTTTCTGTTTGCTACCTCCTATTTGTGCTGAGCTCACAGGCATCAGAGAAAACTGGGCAAGCACATCTCTGTACCATCGGCAGTTGGATCAATGAACAGAGAGAGAAGGAAAGAGAATATTCTTTAATATGAAGCTCTGCAAAAGTGCTTTAGATATTCATCACACTTCAAGTAAGATTCACAGAACATTTTAGATGGATGCAAAGATCTACTTTAGCACATTTATCCCCCCCATCAAGCTAAAAACTATTGCAAGATTATGATAATTGGTCTTAAAATACACTCAAAAAAAAATAATACACTCAGTCGTTCAAAAGCTTGGGGTCAGTATAAGAAGTTTCTTATGCTCACCAAGGCTGCATTTTTGACAAAAATACAGTAAAAATAGTAATATTGTGAAATATTTCCAACTGTTTTTTTTATTTTAATAAATTATAAAATACAATTTATTTCTGTGATGCAAAGCTGAATTTTCTGCAGCCGTTACTCTAGTCTTCAGTGTTGCATGATCTTTCAGAAATCATTTTAATATACTGATTTGGTGCTCATGAAACATTTCTTCCCGTTATTAATGTTGTGCTTGTTAATTTTTATTTTTTGTATGTTTTGGAAATGGTAATCTTCTTTGGGTAATCTTCTTTTAGGATGCTTTGATGGAAAGTTTCATGGAAAGGTTAAAAGAATTTATATGAAATATATTTTTCTGACTCCGTGAAAGTCTTTATTGTTATTTTTGATCTATTTAATGCATACTTGCTGAATAAAAGTATTAATTTATATTTAAAAAAATCATACTCACCCCAAACTTTAGAAAGGTGTTGTTTAATTAAAGATAAAATGTCCTTTCAACTCAACTCTTTATTTTGGGAGCCCTACAGGTCAGCGAGTGTCATTTGTCCAAATGTTCATCTGATTTTGAGATTTCTGCAAAACATTTTACTGTTCAAAAAAGGTGAAATGCTTAGTGGAAAGTTGTTTTACTCTTGTAATTCAAATAAGTGTCATGGAGATGAGAACATAACTAGTAGCCAAGCCTGTGATGACATTGCCAAACCCAACATTAGTCTCAAAATAAAGCAACCATACATAAGTTCATCTGGAAGACGCTGTTTTCAGCTGTCATTTATTCATATTAGTGCTGCAGCTAAGCTTTGAGCACATCAGATCATCAGTGTTTTAAAACTCATCCCTTGGTCTCAGCCAGAAGAAACGGCTCTTATTTCACACATTCGGGGAAATGTCATTAGTAAAGGCATTTCACTATGAATGTGTCTGCCACTGTTGATGCATAAATCGGTGCAGTGTTGTCCTAATATTTAGACTGTGTGAATGCTTTGCTGAACTTGCCATGATGTGTGGATATTTTGTATGGTGGAGGTCATGATACGAGTGAGTATCTCACACTCTCTTTCCTCTGGGTCTGATAATATTTCATCTTTGTCTCTGAAGTGTGTGACACGTGACCTCACCTTAATCTCTTTATTGCTGCAAGACAAACATGGTAAAACTCATGGCAAGAACACTGTTCACTGACATTTTCTTTGAAACACACAAGAGAAGCCATGCAGTAACAGTATTGGTTTGGTAAGCTGATAAGATTTAGGGATTCTAAATGTCTCTTGTCTACTGAAAACCTGGACTTTTGTATGCACGTAAAAACAAAATGACTATTTGTATAACAATTTGTCGAGCACATGATTTCATCACATGTGATATATTATTGTCGTAGTTAAGTAATTCTTTTATATAGTCAAAACAACAGTTATTTATCATCAATTCTCTCTGGGTTTGTTTGGGTTGGTGATTTCTCATACTGCAGACGGTCATGATTTAAGTGGTGCAGCTCTGCTGAATATAAATTTTTCCCAGAGGCTGGTCTTTATGGCTCTGCCGTTTTTAGCGGACTACATCTGTAGTGATTTAAAAGTAAGATGCCCATCACAGCAATTCTAGTTCTGTACTGCTAGAGCCTTCTTATCTGAAGAATTACAATAAATCAAAGCTAGCTTCTTTTCTCGAGTCTTTGAAAGAACACAATGTCATGGTCCGAAACCATCTCGCATGATTCTGAAAACTCATTAGGCTTGTTCAAATCTTATCTGTATGACCTGATAATTGTATTTTCAACTGCCTAGCCTATACTGAAAATAGCTTTCCATGTTCAGATATGTTAGCTGAAAATACATTTATCATTCTAGAAAAAAGTGAAACAGAGAGCATTGTGACATCCGTTTAGCTAATACAGGGCTGAAAACACTATCATACATGGACACCATCCTGCTGAGGTGACAGTAGAACCTTATGTTTTTAAAATGCACAGGCTTCAGGTTTCATGTTTGAGGTATGACTGATGTAATTTGTCTTAGAACAAAATAAAGTCTTTATTCACTTTAAGTGAAGTTACATATCTTATTTTGCTCATTAATTGAAAACCGCCACCCCTGAGGGAACTTCCAAGTGAACTCATTACAAACAGCCTTTTGGATTGGCCTACAATCTGACGTCATAACTGACCCTACTGTATAGGATATAGATTTTAATTAGAGAGGTACGTTTCAGAAAAAAATAAGACTATTATTAAAAGTTGTTTCTATAACTGTTTTTCATTTATTGACTGATATTTAGCAATATCCTGGACCCTTTCCCCCCTATTTACACACAACCATTGCGGTCATGATTTTATGAACATTTTAAAAATGTTTTTAAAAATGTTGATAATTATTAATGCTTTTTCCATTAAAAAGTTGCATATTATAAAACAATATCACAAATATTCAGATTACTGGTTGACAATGTGTTTTGAAATGGCTATTTCATTTAATTTTTGTGTCCGTGACAACTTTAACTTTAAAGGTATGCCTATTTTTGTTTTTAATTTATTTATTTCTTAATTGAAAACATTGGCTGGTTGACTTTTCCATTTGTTGACATAACATGGTTAGATTCAGATGTTAAATATCATACATTAAGTTGGGTGTGCACTTCAGAGATAATCACTATATTTATAATGAAACCATCATATAAATATGATATTAATCATATGACAGTAAAATGTCATTTATTGTTACTACTGCATTTTAAACTATTAGGGGTGGGGATCTCCTTCAATGCTTTCGTAATCTTTACTTTTTTAGTTTCCTTAATTTTTAAAATGAACACTTTAATGTATCTCATTTTATTGAACAAATCATTTAGAAAAATAAATAGAATAAATTATTTTATTTCTCAAACTTTGCTAAAGTGATTGTATTAACCGTGTGCGGTGTAAAAGGCCCACCCTGGTCACCTCAAACATGTATAAGATTTTAAACAAAACAAACCACTTTTATGATTTATTTGCACACAAAATCTGTTTCTCCATCAATGTTAAATATATAAAAAAAGCACATGTTTTGAAAAGCATTTTTTCTTAAGAAAATATAGCAAGTAAATCTAGGAGCAAAATAAAGGAAAACTTTGTAATTGGCACCAAAATATTAATGGAATCTAAAATTAATCGAGCTTGCCTAATGGATGCCACAAGCTACATTGGTTTAAAGTTAACAGTCAGCCCCGTGTTCAGAACCCATTTGCATTGCACGTGCGTAAACGCTAATCAAACTGTTACAAGAAACTCACCTTCCCTTGGTGCTTCAGGATCCCATGCTGACCACATCTGTACGGAGAAAAACGGAGTCCAGCACACTATATAAGCCAGAACGATAACAAAGGTCATTTTAACGGTGGTGATTTTAGCCTTGGAGATGAGTTTGACGCTGCTGACCCGCGCGAGCGCACTGCCTTTCGATGCCTTGGGCGTGAGAGTGATACACTGGTCCCTCTTCGTCTTCCTTTTAAAGTTTTGCCATATTTTAAAACTTATCAGTCCATAGCAGACACTCAGAATGGTCACTGGTATGATGTATATCGTCAGACTCATCCACGTGATGTAGGCTTTCGCTCCCCAAGGCTGTACGAAATCTCCCCAGCAATCATAAACTCCTGAACCCACCTCCCGTAAGGAGAATATATAAACCTGTGGGATACTGAAAAGTAAGCTTAGTGCCCAAGAACAAATCACGTAACAGCGGTCCTTTCTCTTGTGTAAAGAACGAAGAGGCTGGCAGATTGCCATACATCTGTCTATGGACATCAGCACCAGCATGTACGTGGAGGCGAACATCCCAACGGTCTGAAGATACTTCACCAACCTGCACAGGATGTCTGGTCCATAAAAGCGAAACGTGATGTCCCAGATGAGTTGAGGAAGTACCTGGAAGACAGCCACGACCAGATCTGCAATGCTGAGGTGCTTCATGAAGTAATACATGCGAGATTGACTGTGCTTGGTCGTGTGAATTGCAACAAGGACGCAAAGGTTACCAGCGAGTGCCAAGAAGAGCACCAAGGCCAATACAGTAACTTCCACTTTTGCCACCTCTTCGTTCCGCTTCAGCGGGTTCACCGTCTGGTTTACGCCGTAAGTTTCATTGTTGACGCTGGAGTTTCTAGATGACTCATTGAAAGACCATAAGTCTTGATCCTTGAAGATGTCCTCCATGGTGCCAAAAGCGCGCACCTACTTCTCCACAAATGTAAAAGAACTGATTAGTTTTCCTCGCACATAATCAGCCTGTACATAGTCACTTAACAGGTGGCACGACAAGGATCTCCAGGAACAGGGAAAGAAAGTCCTTTGCTGCTTGGTGGTGATCCCTCAGCTGTGTTCAACCTTCACTGTCAACTATAAACACAATAAGCATGGATTTTTTTTTTGGTACATCACATTTAGCCCTATTATTATTATTATGATTATTATTATTTTTATTTATTTTTTTACAAATAGAGATTAATCAAGCTTTTTATTAATTATAAATTAAATGGATGCATTAAAGATGCAGTTATCCAGTAATTATAAAACTATCTTGTTAATATTTTTCAGTATTGCAAATATATGTATATTTTTATTGTAAATATAATTTTTAATGTCCAAGTACTTACAGTTGTTTTCCATTTGATCAGGTTGTCCAGCTGATGATAGAGTAGGTGTAAAGGAGAGTCCTAGAGGTGGAGAACCTTTCTTTGCTCTCACTCGGCTCGCACTGAATGGAGCGCGTCACGATATCACCACTTATACATCTTCTCAATGGTTCTCCCTACCAGACCTTACCCACGACTTCCACTAGGGGACCTTGTGCTCTATTGCAAATCAGTAAGTTCCTCTTCAAATGTTTTCTTGTGTGCTTTCCTGTATGTTGACTGCTGGTAATATTTTCTTTTTATTAAGGGGTGATTTATGATTAAGAAAAATAGGCTATTTTTTGAGCAGTCAAATAAAATGTATAATGGGAATATAGAACAGAAACAGGTGGAGAAAATACTAATACTAATAATATTGCCCAGTAGAAGTCTTTCTCAAATACATTAACACAAAAATATTTGACTAATTCATGCAAAATATCAGCCAACATTGTTATCAGTGAATCACATTTATCTTTGGTAGCATTTGAGAGGTTGCAGCTCACATTTTGAATATCCACATCAAGATAACTTATTAGTATGCCCCAAAAGGCCTTATCACACTTCATCAATTGAATGCCCGAGTCCTGATCTGCGTCAGCGTCTCTCAGTGGACGCACATGCTGCATACCAGGGTCAGGAGACATTTTCAAAGTCAACACGCTTCTAAAATAGTGTCGGCCGAGGAAAGACTTGAAAAATTATTTATGGAAATTATATAAATAATGACGATAACATGTTCTCAATTTAAAATGGAATGTAATCCAATTTTTTACATTTTAATGTATTTTATTATGAACAAACAAAAAGCAGATTTTTTATTTTTTTTGCGTTTTTACATGCAGATCACATTGCCCTTGAAATATGTTGTTAATCTGTCTGTGATAGTCACATTGGAGAGGATTAGAATACGTGAACTTGAATGGACTATGATAATTCAAAGTTAAGTAGAAAAGGGATTTTATAGATCACAAAGGACACGATAAAGAAAAATTCCTTACAATAATATTACCAAATCATCATTAAACACTTAAAAGAGTAAAGGTTACAAAAAGGGCCTTTTTTTTTTTTTTTACAGTGATTCTATAGAATCTGATTTAACGTTTCCATTGTAAAGAACCTTTTGTGCAATAAAACGGTTCTGTTGATATTCAAATATTAACTCTGTCTTCATTTACTCACCCTTCTGTTGAACATAAAACCAGATATTTTGAAGAATGTGGGTGACCAAACAGTTGCTGTTCCCCACTGACTTACATGGTATGGTGGGAAAAAAATACTATGGAAGTCAATGGGGACCAGCAACTGTTTGGTTACCCACATTCTTCAAAATGTTTTCTTTTATGTTCAACTGAAGAAAGAAATTCATACTGGTTTGGAACAACTTGAAGGTAAATGATGACAGAATTACTATCCCTGTAAAGGTTCTTCATGGAATCGTGGATAATATCAATAAATAGCCTTTATTTGACAATGTGCAATCCATCGACTGTGCAAAATCACCAGCTTTGCTTTCACTCTTAACACCCAACAGTTGATCGTCCTCAATGTGTCAAATTGGTCAGCTTCAAGAGGATTAAATCACTCCATGTTACTACAACCTCAATGTTTTCCAGCCCCACTGGTGAGCTGGTATCTCACCATCACTCATTTGGTTGGATAGCACAGAACCTCAGATATCCCAGGGGTCCTTTGCAAGAAAATGGTTTGTTCAACTCCGATAATCTAACTTACCTTTTAAACCATGTGCTATCATGGACAATATACCTAAATTAAAGACATTGAAAGGAAGTAAATGGAGTTCTATTGCATGGCATGTCTAAGTTAATTTGCATTAAATCACTTTGCCTTATTATGTTCAAAACAACTTTTGCCTACAGTACCCTTGGGGAAAATATGCATAAAAATCAGTTCAGTTGCCTCATATAGCAAGCAGGTTCAAAGAATCCCTGTCACAGTGCTGTGAGAAGTCTTGCTGAGACCACAACGAGCTGTAAATTACAGCTATCAGTGGCATCTCTAGTTAAACCTCAAGATGCGTCCTGCTGCACATTGACAAAGCCATGTAGCCTCTGAATGGGGTTCACACATCAAATTCAATTTTAAGACAAATTTACCCAAACAGCTCCACTGGAATGACATGCACAGATTACCAAACTTGACAAAATTCTTTTAACAAGTCCATATCATGCTCATTGCGAATCAAAGCTAAGCATACAGTATGTGCAAGCCAGCTTCCTGGCAGGCAGTAAGGCTCATAATTGGCATAATAACACCATCACTATCACAGCAGCATCCTAAAATCTCATTTGACCACCAAAAAGAGAGACTCAGAATATGACTGCAGTCACCTTAGATCATCACTGTTCTGAGCTTCAGAAACAGTCTGGTTACTTCTACAGAAAATGGCAGGACCTGGCTGACACTATAGGAGATGTATTCTTCTGACTCCGCTGTTTATTTACAGCAAATCTCACTCATTATTCTCAGCGGTAGCAGTGGCGGAAGGGAACCGGTCTGGATTTCTTCTAGAAACTTTAAACAACTTGTTTAGTGTTCAAATAACATTGAGTTACACAAGAGAAGGTAAAAAGTGTCATTTTAGCTCGTCAAAGATGTTCTAAATGGTTTTAAAGTTATTTTTTACAGCACTTCTCCTCTATCAGCATTATGATTTGTATTAGCCCGTTATCATTGAACAGTAAGCCTGGTTTTCATTATCATCCCTGGCACAACTCCAGCATAATTTGATTTTCAAACGTCATTCCCTTTGGCAAGTGTAACTGGTTAAAACAAAAACGATGCTAAGAAAGTATCTGGAAACGGTCAACTATCCCATAATAAATAAATAAATGGGAAAATTAATCAAATTAAAAGAAATGAAGTTGAATAGGCCAGGGGGTTTGTTTGTTTGAAAAATCTATGGTTTGTGCTGTACAAAATACAAACCAGATGAAATAACGAAGTGAGAAAGAGATATTCTTTAACTGAATCTACATAATACATCTTTGATAAGGATGCCTATGTGATGAACTGACATGGTGGCACTAGAAGATATCGCTACAATAATTCAATGCGCTGAATTGTCACAAACACTTCATTCCAGAGAGTGAGTATAAACTAATGTTAAAAACTTTGTGGTCATTGTTTTTGTAAAAAAAAGTATTTTATACTCACCAAGACTGCATTTATTTAATCAGAAATACAGGAGAAACAGTAATATTGTAATATTGTCATTTTCAGCAGCCATCCCATATGAAAGAAAGAGTGAGCTTTGAAGGTCTAATAGGGTTTTAAGTAATCAACCACTAAATGACACAGACGTCAAAGAAAGATAAATATTGTTTTACATAAGACTGGTACAAAGTCAACCTTGCAGCCACTGGAAACCAAGTTACAGCTGATGAGTGATTGGCCTTTTATTGATTATTGCTACATAGTCGATTGCCATTTGTGAGTGTGTCTGTTTTATATCAACATAATCATAATAATATACAGAGCATGTATCAAGGGCTACTAAGTGTATCATTCACAGACAAAAATATATTTACGTCTATGGATATTATATAATACTATGCATATTAATTAGAGATGTACCGATTGCAATTTTCTTGGCTGATTCCGATTTCTGATTTTTTTTGTAAGTGTGATCTGCCGATTCCGATTTTCTTTCTAAGAACTATAATTGACAGCATATACAAACAAAAATCTACTTTTCTTCAACACAAAGTTTTATTTTCATAAAAAACACAAGTAAACACTCAGTAATAAAATAAGAACAAATAAGAAAAATGGCAAACAACAGCACAGATAAATGCAATAGAATAAGGAGAGCTATAAAACTCAGTTTTTCAGGTTCAGTAGGTTTTTATTTAGTTAAGAAATACTACAGAAATTAAAGTAATCAAATGTAAAATAACACATCCAGTGTTATTTTACATTTGATTACTTTAATTTCTGTAGTCTTCATTGTAAAAATTAAATACAGATTAATGCTTACCATTAAAGTTATAAAACGTATTCAGTCAAGAGCAGAAAATTATTTTCTTTGTCTTTTGTTCTTTGATTAACATGACAGACAGCAGCATAATTATTGGACTGCGGTCCCTTTAAGAGTTTATCCACGGATCCAATATACTGTTATGCCGAGTTCATACTGCACGATTTTCAAAGACGTCGCATCACTGTTGGTTTCACACTGAACGACTATCTGGGGTAGCATTCAGTTGCTGCTGTGTTCACACTGCACGATGGAACGACGACAGGAGGTTTGACACTGCATGACTTTACAATAGGAAGAATCGCCGACAGCTCTGGCTGGTGCAGGGTTGCCAGGTTTTCGCTACAAAACCCGCCCAATTACTACTCAAAACTAGCCTGAAAATAGCCCAATTGCGTTCGGGGGGTAAAACACAAATTTTTTTGGCGGGGTTCTCCTGGTACAATTCACATTCCAGGGCCTAAATATCATGTTATTGGGGTCGCTTCAACCTGCTGACATAAAAGACAACCGGCGGCAATCGCGGATTTGGCAACACTGGTCCGCAAACTACGTTTCATATAACTCCTCCCCGAACTTCCCGCTGCCCTGTATCTTGGTCTCTCATTGGCTGTAGGTCATCGCAGATGTGTTTTTCAGTCAGAACGTCTCTAGGTTACGTATGTAACCATGGTTCCCCGAGGGAATGAGACGCTGTGTCAAGAATCGCTTTGGGAACGCCCCTGCGTGACCGTGTTCTGAAGCACGTGTCAAATCAGCCCAATGGAGCAGCGAGACGTCACGAGCTTTAGGGTGCCACAGAGGAAACAAGTGATAAGTGGGTGTCTTCCCAATGATTGACCACCCAGAAGGGCGTGGTAAGCAACTAAGGCCGCCACGTATACCTTCAGAGGGGAGGGAGATAACCCTGCGGAGAATTGCTCCTGCAGCACTACAGAACTGTACCAATTGGGTAGTTGACTGGGTCTTGCAATCGCTGACCGCACCACGAAGTGAAAAGTTTCCACTTCAAGGCGTACTGTTTCCTAGTGGCGGGAGCTCTGGACTGGAATGTGTTGTAAACAAACAACACACAAATCGTGTGTATCCCCCGCCGCCAGATATCATGGGCAGGGAGGAACACAACGTTTGTAATGCCGTTCGCTCGCCATAGACTTTGATTTTGCTTTCTTAGACATGATATGAATGCTTGTGCTGACAGACAACAATAAATAGACGGACACATACACAGAGCGCTACTGAAGAGCAGAAGCTGACTTGCGCTCTGCCGGATGTGCTTTTATACTTTCTGGTGCTTACGTCACCCCACTCGTGACGTCTCGCTGCTCCATTGGGCTGATTTGGCACGTGCTTCAGAACGCGGTCACGCAGGGGCGTTCCCAAAGCGATTCTCTACGCAGCTCGAGTTCCTGAAGGGGAACTCATTTCACGCAGCGTGATTGTGAATCGCCGACAACTCCAGATATTTAGCAAGCCAAATATTTCACGGGCGTCGGCGACGCGTTGGCGATTTCCTCAGATCGCGTCTTTGATAATTCACATTGCGCCATTGTCACTCGCGTGAACAAGCACTGATTTGCCTCCGATTTCGGGCATTTGTCGGCGATTTCGCAAAACCTGTCGGCGAGTCAAAAATCGTGCTAAAATCGTGCAGTGTGAACTCAGCATTACACGACATGCGTTCTCTTTCTCAACTATTTAACGTTCCAAAACTGATTGTGTTTAACTGGATACTCACCAAAACGGGCATTTTGACATAATTATTTATGTATTTGAACGTTTTAGCGCAGTTAGCCACTCATTTTGGTATTTGTGGCTCACAAGCTGTTTGAGACTGAGCGCGGATTGTGCGCTCCACTAATATAGATCAGTGGTGGTGCACGCGCGTTTGGTATAAGCACGAAACCTGCGGGAATGACTAAAATAATGCGCAATACAAGCATTTAACTGGAGCGAATGAGACGTGTGTGTGTGTGTGTGTGTGAGAGAGAAGGGGTCGTCGGAGAGAAGAGAGTGAGAATGTGCGGCTGACGTTATTGCCTGTGCCGCTGGTAACAAAACGGATCGGCTCAAAATCGCAAAGAAGTGAGAGTGACCAGCCAATCACCGATCCGGGCCGATCACGAGGAAAATCGTCCGATTCCGATCCCTGGCCGATCGATCGGTGTATCTCTAATCAGAGGCGGATTTAGTGAATTGGGGGCCCCAGGCAAAATATTGGAATGGGGCCCTATACATTTGCACACATCTTCCTAGATCAACCTTGAGGTTCCTTTTTTGTTGTGATGCTTGCTCCTGCACAATGGTGCCCCATAGTTGTGTCCAATGTTTCTACATTTTTCATGCACATGTTATAATGACTTTCTTTCATGTTGTAGACAACGAAATAGCAACTGATTTACAGTTGAGATACAGGTTTTCACAAAAACAAAATAAATTAAAAAATAATAAACCTCACAATTGAGCGTTTAAACCATGGGTGAGCCAGAAGTATAAGTTATTATATTAATTTAAAACGGGGTTATGTGGGTGCATTTTCGCATTGATCTGAACAAAAACTACAGACTGGATTATTGAAAATGAACATTCATTCTCTTCCAGTAGGAGGCGCTTTTGGAACGTTAGAAATATAGA